CGCATCTCTCATACCCGGCTACTCCTGTAGGTGTTCACCCTATACTGTCTCCTGTAGCTGTTCACCCTATACTGTCTCCTGTAGCTGTTCACCCTATACTGTTTCCTGTAGGTGTTCATCCTATACTGTCTCCTGTAGCTGTTCACCCTGTACTGTCTCCTGTAGCTGTTCACTCTATACTGTCTCCTGTAGCTGTTCACCCTATACTGTCTCCTGTAGCTGTTCACCCTGTACTGTCTCCTGTAGCTGTTCACCCTATACTGTCTCCTGTAGCTGTTCATCCTATACTGTCTCCTGTAGCTGTTCACTTTATACTGTCTCCTGTAGCTGTTCATCCTATACTGTCTCCTGTAGCTGTTCATCCTATACTGTCTCCTGTAGCTGTTCACCCTGTACTGTCTCCTGTAGCTGTTCACCCTATACTGTCTCCTGTAGCTGTTCACCATATACTGTCTCCTGTAGCTGTTCACCATATACTGTCTGCTGTAGCTGTTCACCCTATTAGAAACATAAGAAACATAAGAAAATAAGGAGTCTGCAATAGGCCGGTTGGCCTGTGCATGGCAGCTCCTGTCGAGAGTTACTACCACTCTCTATCATCCATGAATCAATCTAGCCTCCTTTTGAAACTTTCCAGAGTTCCCGCACTTACTACAAAGTTGCTAAGCTTGTTCCACTCGTCCACCACCCTATTTGTGAACCAGTTTCTTCCTATCTCCCTCCTAAACCTAAACTTATCCAACTTGAATCCATTGCTCCGAGTCCTATCCTGCTCGGATATTATAAGAACTTTATCTATATCCCCTTTATTGATTCCTTTCACCCACTTAAATACTTCTATCATATCTCCCCGCACTCTTCGTCTTTCTAGGGAATGCAAGTTAAGTTTCTTTAACCTATCCTGATATGGAAGGTTTCTAAGTCCCTGAATCATTTTTGTCATTCTTCGCTGCACCGACTCTAGTGAATTGATATCCATTCTATAATAGGGGCACCAGAACTGAACCGCATAATCGAGGTGCGGCCTGACTAGCGCAAGATATAGTTGCAATAAGACCTCTGCACTCTTGTTACTTACACTTCTAGATATAAAACCCAATACTCTGTTTGCCTTATTTCGAACATTAACGCACTTTTTTCTAGGCCGTAGGTCCGGGCTTACAAGTACCCCTAGGTCTCTTTCACAAGTCGACTTCTCTAGGTTGATGTTATTAAGGCTGTATACATTATAAGTATTTGTTCTTCCAATATTAAGTACGCTGCACTTGCTGGTGTTGAATTTCATTTGCCATTTTTCAGACCACCCGTGCAGTTTATTTAGATCCTCCTGTAATGCATTTGCATCCTGCCCTGAACTAATTTGCCGCCATATTTTGGTGTCATCCGCAAACTTGCTTATGTCACTGCTGATCCGAGTATCTAGATCGTTTATGTAGATTATGAACAAGAGTGGGCCTAGTACTGACGCCTGGGGAACCCCACTGGTTACACGGCCCCACTCAGATTTAACACCATCTACGCTGACCTTCTGCGTTCTATCGGTGAGCCAATATAAAACTTTCCCCTTGATACCATGAGCCTTAATTTTTCTCCTGTAGCTGTTCACCTTATACTGTCTCCTGTAGCTGTTCATCCTATACTGTCTCCTGTAGCTGTTCATCCTATACTGTCTCCTGTAGCTGTTCATCCTATACTGTCTCCTGTAGCTGTTCATCCTATACTGTCTCCTGTAGCTGTTCATCCTATACTGTCTCCTGTAGCTGTTAATCCTATACTGTCTCCTGTAGCTGTTCACCTTATACTGTTCTTATAATATCCGAGCAGGATAGGACTCGTAGCAACGGATTTAAGTTGGATAAGTTTAGGTTTAGGAGGGAGACAGGAAGAAACTGGTTCACAAATAGGGTGGTGGACGAGTGGAACAAGCTTAGCAACTTTGTAGTAAGTGCGGGAACTCTGGAAAGTTTCAAAAGGAGACTGGATAGATTCATGGATGATAGAGAGTGGTAGTAACTCTCGACAGGAGCTGCCATGCACAGGCCAACCGGCCTATTGGAGACTCCTTATTTTCTTATGTTCTTATGTCTCCTGTAGGTGTTCATCCTGTACTGTCTCCTGCAGGGCTGTTCTCGTCGTCATATTTTCAGGTGTTACTGTTACACTGTATCTCAGGTGTTACTGTTACACTGTATCTCAGGTACTTTATCATTATAATCTTAAGTAACTGAAGTTTCGTTTAGTGTCTGAGTTTTATTCGTTTTTTATCATTTTAACTCATACCTTTGGTGGGTAGGTTAAAATATAGTGTTGCATCATGAAATAGTTCATAAGTCATTTTCCAAAGTCTATTTTCTGTTAAGCTTTTCCTCTGAAAGGAGGAATTCACGGTGACCAAATTCTTTCGTTCTGTAAATTCCCTGACACATGAACCTCATGCATTTTCACTGCCAACTCTAAATGTTCTCACAGACATGTCACCATTTTTTTTTATCCTGCGTTTTTGTCACTAGCTTATGCTTTGACGAGGAACCATGTTGGATTTTTTCGTTTAAATTCATTATTTTCGTCTGAGATGTTGAATGTTGGACAGGAACCTGAATACACACAGGTGAGGTGTAATGGTGGCTGTGATCACCATTGTCTCGCCTCAGTTAATCTCAACCTACAGGACGTTTATTCATATGTTTGATAAAGCTAAAGATCTCGATACTACCTCTTTTATCTACTCTAATTCCTTCACAAACAAAAGATAATAACTGGTTTCATTCCTCACTGATCTCTTGTTTTAGTTAAGGCCACATAGTTCCACACCGTTCTGTTCTATAAAGTAAGTCTTGTGATTAAACAGTTTTACATAGAGACAACAGGGCATATGGTACCTTAAACAGGCTAGTGATTGTCTCACTAGAGGGAAACTCTTTTACATTCTTGACGTCGCACTCACCGTAGCCAATGGTGAAGCTTGACGTCACACTCACTACAGATAAGGGCGAAGCATGACGTCACTCTCACCATAGCCAATGATGAAACTTGACGTTACGCTCACCATAGCCAATGGCGAAGTTTGACGTCAGATTTACCATAGCCAAAGGCAAAGCTTGACGTCATACTCACCAGAGCCAATGATAAGGCTTGACGTCACACTCATCACAACCAATGGCGAAGTTTGACGTTACACTGACCATAGCCAATGGCGAAGATTCACGTCACACCCACTTCAACCAATGACGAAGTTTAACCTGGAAAAACATAAAAAAAAATCGTTGTAACTATTATATTCTCGGTAACCTGATTAGTCAGGGAGGTAATTAAATAAAAAGGCCTGTAGCTGGGCTAAGTGGTAAGCTGACAGGGTTAAGCAGTAAGCCTACAAGGGAAAGTGGTAAGCTGACAGGGTTAGGTGGTAAACTGAAAGGGTTAAGTGATAAGCTGACAGGGCTAAGTGGCAATCTGACAGGGTTAAGTGGTAAGCTGACAGGGCTAAGTGGTAAGGTGTCAAAACACTGCTGCCGCTGCGTCAAAAATCTTGTTGTGTTAAAGAACTGCTGCTATGTCAAATAAATGCTGCTGTGTTAAATAAGTTATTCTGTGTTAAATAACTGCCTGTCTGTCAGAGAACTAGTGCTGATCTCCGTAGCTATACACCCTCTGGTCTCGGGCTGTGAGCCTGTGACACACCTGACTGTTAACTTGGCTAGACATAATTGTATCTTTGACCAATAAGACCACATAGTTGTTGATGGTCGTGTTCTTATTGGGTGACAAGGCCATGATTCTAGTCTTTGGTGAGAACCCTCAGGTCCCTCACCTAAGTGTGTTTGTTACGAGTGAGAGTTCAATGGCTGGTTGCAGGTTCGCAACGTGAACGTCTTTGTTTGTGACGTCATTTCCGCCCACCTCTGCTCGCTTAGTTTTACCTCCCAAGAGCCGGGTGATGGCAGTACTGGGCTGGCAGTCATACGTTAAGTATCTCATTTCCTATTGTACAGTATATTTCTAGTGGTATAACGTGTGAACCTCGCTCGACTCTTAGAACACCAAGTATTATATGTGAGATTGTTGTTAGTCATACTTTAGAATTCCCCGGAAAATAACTTATTTATGTGGTACGTGTGGTGGATAACCACGTTGGTCATGGTAGTTGTTAATTTAAATAAGTGTTTAGTCTTTACTTTTATGTTCATTATTTTGTCACTCGGTTGAGTCACTTATTTGATCAGATTTAGTTTGTATTTGTTTATTTTTGTACATAACTTATATATTTGTTTTATTGTTTGTTTGTTAATATAAATTATGTAATTAAATCTACTTTATGAATTTCAATATATCCCATAGTAATGAGGTGAAGAATTTGGTGGGATCTATTCCTTGGACCTATAATACAAAGAGAAAGTGAATTTGTGCATTGTTACAACTTAAGAGGCCAAGGTCGTAACAATGTTACTCTCGTCTAAAAATATAGTTGAACCTTCCAGGAGCTAACGATCGAACTGACCGTTAACAAGAGAACACTCCTGCCACGCTGAGGCAGTGTTAGGAGTTTCCAAGCAGTCTATTTATTTGTTTCTCCCAGTTTGTACATAAATTCTCCAAGATTAGTTGCGTGCCGATAAGATTAAGGAATTATTTCTTGTTTTCGAGATACGACTTGCCTGAAAATATTTCACTTTGACTTGAAGGACATCTTATACATAGTTACTGTACCGAAGCTCAGGCGACCCTCGGATGGTGAGGCAGATGGTGGAGCAGTGGAACATTCCCCACCCCAGCACCATCTATTGACAGCCAGGCCCGCGGTAACCCCCTTCACAGCCGTGAACTCTCACCCAGCCTACCAGACACTGGCTGTTAATCTCTCTCTCTCTCTCTCTCTTGTACCTAATTTTCTTACCATAATTGGTAAACTGTTCTTGTTTCATAACATGCATGGGGACTCATTTCTCCCACACTCGGCACATTACTGGTATGTTGTATAAGGTATTCCGTCTCGTCCCCACCAGCAGGTCCTCACACCAGCAGGTCCTCACACCAGCAGGTCACACTAGCAGTCCCTCACACTAGCAGGTCCTCACACCACTGGGTCCTCACACCAGCAGGTCCTCCAGCAGGTCCTCACACCAGCAGGTCCACACCAGCAGGTCCCTCACCAGCAGGTCCTCACACCCAGCAGGTCCTCACACCAGCAGGTCCTCACACATGTCTCTCCAGAAGAATTCAGGTCCGGGTGTCAGCCGCCTCCACCCTCACACCAGCCGCCACCTCCAACATTCACACCAGAGCGCCACCTCCATCACTCCACCAGCCGCCACCCGCCACCTCCAACATTCACACCAGAGCGCCACCTCCACCACTCACACCAACCGCCACCTCCAACATTCGCACCAGAGCGCCACCTCCACCACTCACACCAGCCGCTACCTCCAACATTACACCAGGCGCCACCTCCACCCTCACCAGACGCCACCTCCAACATTCACACCAGGCGCCACCTCCACCCTCACACCAGCCGCCACCTCCAACCATTCACACCAGAGGCGCCCCTCACCACTCACCCAGACGCCACCTCCAACATTCACACCAGAGCGCCACCTCCACCACTCACAGCAACCGCCACCTCCCACCACTCACACAGACGCCACCTCTACCCTCCACAGCAACCGCCTCCTCCACCACTCACACCAGCCGCCGCCTCCACCATTCACACCAGCCGACGCCTCCACCATTCACACCAGCTAACGCCTCCACCACTCCACCAGCCGCCGCCTCACCCTCACACCAGCCGTCTCCACCTCCACCAACCGCCTGCTCCACCACTCACCACGCCTCCTCCCACCACTCACTCCAGCTGCTGCCTCCTCCACCTACCACTCACCAGCCGCCTCCTTCACTACTCACAGCCGACTCCTCCACCCTCCACACCAGCCGCCGCCTCCACCACTCCCAACCGCCGCCTCCCACCACTCCACACCAGCCGCCGCCTCCACCACTCACACCAACCCCGCCTCCACCACTCACACAAGCCGCCGCCTCCCCACCCTCACACGAGCCGCCGCCTCCTCCACCACTCCACCAACCGCCGCCTCCACATCACCAACCACCACGCCTCCACCACTCACGAGCCGCCCCTCCACCACTCACACGAGCCGCCGCCTCCTCCACCACTCCACACCAACCGCCGCCTCTACCACTCCACACCAGCCGTCTCCTCCACCATTCACCAGCCGTCTCCTCTACCACCTCACACCAACCGCCGCCTCCACCACTCCACGAGCCGCCTCCTCCACCACTCACCAACGCCGCCTCCCCACTCACACCAACCGCCTCCACCACTCACACGAGCCGCCGCCTCCACCACTCACACACGAGCCGCCGCCTCCTCCACCATTCACACCAGCCGTCTCCTCTACCACTCCACACCAACCGCCGCCTCCACCACCACTCCCACACCAGCCGTCTCCCTCTACCACTCCACCAACCGCCGCCTCCACCACTCCACACGAGCCGCCGCCTCCACCACTCCCAGCCGCCCTTCTCCACCACTCACACCAGCCGCCTTCTCCACCACTCACACCAGCCGTCTCCTCTACCACTCACACCAACCGCCGCCTCCACCACTCCACGAGCCGCCGCCTCCTCCACCATTCACACCAGCGTCTCCTCTACCACTCACACCAACCGCCGCCTCCACCACTCACACGAGCCGCCGCCTCCTCCACCACTCCACACGATCCGCCGTCTCCTCCACCACTCACCAGCCGCCGCCTCCTCCACCACACCATCACGCCGCCTCCACCACTCCACACGAGCCGCCGCCTCCTCCACCATTCACACCAGCCGTCTCTCCTACCCTCCCACCAACCGCCGTCTCCTCCACCACCCACACGAGCCGCGCCTCCTCCCACCATTCACACCAGCCGTCTCCTCTACCACTCCACCAACCGCCGCCTCCTCCACCACTCACACCAGCCCGCCCTCCTCCACCACTCCACCAGCCGCCGCCTCCACCCACTCACACGAGCCGCGCCTCCTCCACCACTCACACGAGCCGTCTCCTCCACCATTCTGAGCCGCCTCCTCCACCACTCACCAGCGCCATCCACCACTCCACCAGCCGTCGCCTCCACCACTCACCAACCGCCGCCTCCACCACTCACCAACCGCCGCCTCCACCTCCCACCAACCGCCGCCTCCACCACTCACACCAGCCGTCTCCTCCACCACCCACAGCCGTCTCCTCCACCCTCACACCAGCCGTCTCCTCCACCACTCACACCAGCCTCCTCCACCACTCACACGAGCCGCCGCCTCCTCCACACTCCACCAACCGCCGCCTCCCACCACTCACACCAACCGCCTCTCACCACTCCCCCAGCCGTCTCCTCCACCACTCACACCAGCCGTCTCCTCCACCCTCCCACACCAGCCGTCTCCTCCACCATTCACACCAGCCGCCGCCTCCTCCCTCACCAGCCGTCGCCTCTCCACCACTCACACCAACCGCCCTCCCCACCACTCACACCAGCCATCTCCACCACTCACCAGCCGTCTCCTCCACCACTCACACCAACCGCCGCCTCCACCACTCCACCAGCCGTCTCCTCCACCACTTACCACACCGCCTCCACCACTCCACAAGCCGCCACCTGACCTTAATACCACAATCGTGTCCCTGTTATACGCGTTAAGAAGATTTTTTACTAAGTGTGAGCGAGAGTGAATTTCTTTTTGTTTCAAACGTCATTTCAGACTCATATGTAGGACTACAGGTATAGTAATTCTTACTTCGCCCGTAGATTTTATTTTTGTAAGTGAGAGAATAGTGTCTTGTCATACTCTTGTTGCTTGAAGGAAATGAACATAGACGTATAAAACAACTCTACAATACACTGTTGATTTTATGTGGAAACCTAAAGGTGGTTAAAATCATTTCGTCACTCTGGATCTCTAACAAGCAGATGTTGCACTGACCACAATTTATTTTTAAATATGTTTCAAAACATAGTCGTAGGTGGTCAGAGTAACGTTTTACCAAATCCGGCTTCGAAACACGAGGATCCATATATATTTCATTAGCCCAATAAAGCACGCGGACTTCTACATACAATCAACACCTCAACCCGCCAGGATTCAGACACACGGCCCCGAGCCCCATGACTGTGACCGGGAACGCTACCTATGGACCACCAGGATACTAAAAGCAATCCTAGACGTTACTCTGACCGCCTGCGTGATATGGGTAGTCCCCATTAGAGTTCACGGCGCCATAAGCTCGTTGAACAGGCTTTGTGTGAAATATAACAAGTCTGGACTGCTTTTAGTATCCTGGTGGTCCAGAGGTAGCGTTCCTCGGTCACAGTCATGAGCTCGTGGGCCGTGGGTTCGAATCCTGGCGGGTTGAGGTGTTGATTGTATGTGAAGTCCGCGTGTTTATTGGGCTAATGAAATATATATATATATAAAAAAAAAATATATATATATATAATATATATATATATATATATGCTGATAATAACAGGAAAGAAAAACACGAAGTTCCCAAGCGCTTTCATGTAATTCACATCTTCAGGGTGAGTACAGACTAAGAAGTACAAAACAAGGTGTATATATACAGAGGAGGGTGAGATCAGGTCCACAATGGTCAGGTATTAGGTAATGACCCTACTAATTTTTAAAAAGCACCGCAACGGTCAGTAGTCAGGTCAGAGGGTAAGGTACTAACCTTCTCCTGGTTACAAATCTTCTTAATTACAAAATTTTCCAGTTTGTACATGCCATGTTGACTGCTTCGGTATGTCTAATGAGACTAGATTCTATAATGTTCCTACTATCAATTGAATTACAAGGTAATATTGAGGAGGCATTATCCCAGTCAACGCAATGCTTATTATTCCTCAGATGAACAAACAGAGCATTGGATTCCTGGCCTGTCCTAACACTATATTTATGTTGTTTAAGTCTAGCTACAGGATCTTTACCTGTCTGGCCTAAGTAAAACTAGATTTAAACAACAGAAATACAGTGTTTAACTCATGCGCTGTTAAACCAATGTTAATCAAGAACTCCCCCAGCAACACAATTGGTTGCATTTATAAAGTTCCTTAAAAGGAATGTGATATGTTTTACTTAGGCCAGACAGGTAAAGATCTTGTAACTAGACTTAAACAACATAAATATAGTGTTAGGACAGGCCAGGAATCAATGCTCTGTTTGTTCATCTGAGGAATAATAAGCATTGCATTGATGGGAATAATGCCTCCTCAATATTACCTTGTAATTCAATTGACAGTAGGAACATTATAGAATCTAGTTTCATTAAACATACCGAAGCAGTCAACATGAATTTGAGTAATGGTATGTACAAACTGGATAATTTTGTAATTAGAAGATTTGTAATCAGGTGAGATGGTTGGGTCTTTACCCTCTGACCTGACTACTTGTTTGTACTTCTCCTTAGTCTGTACTCACCCTGAAGATGTAGTACACAGAAACCGCTTCAGGCTTCGTGTTTTCTTCTTTCCTGTCAGCATATACAGATCACCAACTACAGTGATTTACTTGCACATATATATATATATATATATATATATATATATATATATATATATATATATATATATATATATATATATATATATATTTATATATATATATATATGTATATATATTATGTATATATATATATATATATATTATATGTATATATATATGTATATATATGTATATATATGTATATATATATATATATATGTATATATATATATATATATATATATATATATATATATATATATATATATATATATATATATATATATATATATATATATATATATATATGTATATATATAAAAAAGCAAATCATTGTAAACAATTTTCACCTCTGGGTACTGGTTGCGAAAAGCGGCCACCAAGGTTCGAGCCCAGCACCCATAGGTCTAAATTGTTTACACAGAAAGCAAGATCTTTCCTTTCCTCACATACTTTTCACTTTACGAGACCAGATATCCTCGTTTATAAACAGAAGCAAAGTAGGTATAAACGAGAGACACGGAAAGTAATGGAAATGTTACACCAAGCTTGTGAAGCTCTGAGTCACATGTCAAGGAGAGGCGCCATATAGGATGTGGCGCGTATGTTTGAACGTTATGTGGTCTTTATGTGCGATCTGACAAGCGGAGGCACGAATGTAAACGAGACCCACATGGAACTATCTGTACACAAAGGGAGGTCAATTGATGCCATTCGCACCAACTGCTGCAGATCTCCAGCATACAAAGAGAGCTGCTATCTAGGCGAGGCGCTGTTGGAGGCAAACATTGGTGCTTGTTCCTGATCTGCCAAGCCGGGATGAATGGGGATGGATGAGGGGAGGCACGCAGATGTTGGAGCCATTCTGGATCATACTACCCCAGGCACCAGAGTCTTGCCTAGAACTCCTGCAGTGTGAATGTAGAGTGAACAGAGCTTACAAAGGTCGCTGGGAATCATTTTACAAAATTCTTTCAACAACATTCACCATTATAGTCTGTTAGTA